TTTAGAGTTTTCTGACAATAAGTACGTATCGTTTACCGCATCGTGTTTGTCGTTAGACCGAGACAGCGCGCGCTGCCTAGCGGCGATGTAAGGAACCTCGAGTTTCCTCAGTTATCGCAGAACAGAACGCAGAATGCAGATTGCAGAATAGGTTTGAAACTTTTTCCTCGTAGGTAAGTGGTGATAATTCGCCTAAGTACAAAGTGAAGTTAGACCGGTTTTTGTAAAGTATACAATTTAAAATGCATTCACTTGATTTCTTAACTTCAAAGTTGTATTTTTTTTGTATTTAACTTACATTGTGGGGTTTTTATTTATTCTAACAGTGAATGATATTTGGGCCAATTTATATTGCTGTTTTATTTTATGTAATTATAATAATGTATTTAAATTTGCATGCGATGTTATTTTACTTTATAGTAATTTATAAATTAGTACTTCAATCCGAATTTTATCACTATACTTATCCGAAAAAATGTGTACTCCTCTGAAAACTCTGCGTAAAGATAATTACCATAACTTTGCTTAAAATACTTCAGATTATAAAACACATCCCCGAACGTCCCCTCCGAAAATGTACATTAAGCGGCTTAGGGCTTACAGACGTGGATGAAAAATGAGAAAAATAATAAACGTAAGTTGAAGGCGAGGTAATGACCAAAGGGGTAGGGTCCGGCGATATAATTATTTGTCTTATCGAAGGGGTGGCAAGGAGCGGGTTTGGCGAGGGTGTTTTTTTAAATATATCCCTAAGCGAGCGGCCCGCCATATGACTACTCGGGAAGGGGTGGTTAATTACTTATCAAAGGGGTGATACCATAAGGGTAAGGGGCGGTTTTTCTCCAAGGCTTCATGACGACTGTTCGCGTTTTATCTCTTGTCGATGCTTTCCTCCCTGGTCATTGTGTGATCGATACTGAGCTCCCTGCTTGCCCCTTGGATGTGCAACCCTGTCCATGCAAATCTCCGGTCACCAAACTCCACACACCAAACACCACAACAACGCAAGCCATGCGTCCCGCGTCACTTGGTTTTTTTAACTGTACTACGATAAGAATACTGATAATACCCCATTCATTCAAATACGAAAATAACTTTTAGCGAATTTCTCATAGGATAGTAAAAAAATATTGTATATGTCTCATGGTAAGACATGGACCAGGGGTCAATTTATTTTTTCACTTTGAGGTCTCCAGAGGCCAAAAACATTATTAGTTCAAATGTGTTTATATGTATATATGGTGTTCGTGAACACGATAAATTGAGTGACTTTGATTATTTGGATAAATGTTGTTGGTAGTTGACTTTTGGCCGTCAATTTTTTCAATGAAATGATGTACATAATTTTTTTTCATGTGTACACTCTTAACGAAATCGCTTTCCTGAAAATTAAAAGAGATATGTAAAACCGATATTTACAGTAGATGAGGTTATCTTCCATATTGTTTGATTTTTCGGCTAACCAGATGATTTTAAGACCATACATTCGTCTGTGTTTATTTTATTCTAAACAATTTTATAGATTAGAAATTGCAGTCTATAATTCAAAAATCTTATTGGTCCTAGCTATACTGAAGAAGACTGTTTGTCAATTCTCTATGTTTAGCGATAACTGCAAGTGTGATTTCTACATAACCAAGTTTTTTTTGTGAATTTGTTGTTTTCCATCTGTTCTTATAAATTGTCTGATAAGGTGTCTGATGTTTCTGCGATGTTATTGTTGTCTTTTACAATCTGATACAAACATGATGTTTTATATGTTCATATACATGTAACTGTCACGTAGAAATGATTTCGAACGTAGGAAACTTGTGTCTACTTTTATATACTAATGCAAAGCTTGCCTTTTGCAAAATGTTGTGTATACATCATCATTACTATAGCCAAACTATTTTGTTGTTTTCTGTTCAATAATATAGATTTATTTGGCTGGCTTAAAGAAACATCTCCAACTAAAATTTCACGAGTCACATTTTCAGCCTATTTATGAACTCGACTGCTATTCAGCAACTAAGTTTGGCAGGTATCAAAATTCATCTTGGCGTAAAAAATCAACAGCTTCGCAAACTCAAATAAAAAATCGGTGTAGGCGATCGAGGGCTGAGGAGGTAATAGATTTTGCGGCGGGTAAGGCGCAGAAACTGAATATTAATAAGTTTGAGAACGCACACCAGCCGCCATAAGCCCGTTTCAATATTGTTTCAGCGTATTATTCATTCTGTTTGGAGCATTCTTCGCCTCCTGTTAAGTTTTCTTTGATCCTATAAAATCAGAATATATTCCGCAAGTCGGCTCGCGCCTAACTTTGGAGGGATATTACTCTTAGGCGCGCTTATTTATTATTAGATCGAAAAGGCGTATATCAATCGGTGGGGAGGGTGTAGAGCGAATTTCCCTGTAGACCTCCATCGTTACCATCGCTCATTACGTACACCTGACCTGTAGTCTGCAGTCTGTTGTCTACTGTCGATCTATTATAGCAGAAGTCCAACTGGACCTACATAGCTGAAGAACACAATTTTATTTAACGCTTTTGATATTTTACACTATTTTTTTGGCAAATACACTTCAGTCTCCATGGTTGCGTATTCAAAAACTAGTCTAAATCCAATAACGTAGTTTTTCTGTTAGTTATAAAGCTTTCACTCGTCACAATTGTTTATAATTTTCAATTCTCTTCAGGGGGTTTTCTCATAAGCTTTAACAAAAATTGCAAAGCATTTAGATTTAGTATACTGATATTTATGTATCTTTCTAATCATAGACTTTCTTGCGGACATGTTGTGGTTTAAATTATTTTACATTTTACTATAATACTTTTTGGTCTCTTGAGTGCATGTTATTTGGTGATAATAAGTTTTAGCAACGCTTACTTTAATAAGTTTTAGTTTACTTAAAACCTAGCTACGTTTTAATAATATAAAATTAGAAATTTATTCTCTTTGACAACATTATTGATTACGAATAGCAAACTAAATAATTGAAAGGTGATGTATTTTACAAACACGATTTTCGTCATAACACAAAATTTTTAATTTTAGAATAGCAATAAATATTATACGGATATTCGGTATAAGCGTGTATATGTTTAAAACTCCAGATCACATATAAAATTTTTAGTTAAAACACGAAGATCGTACCTCAATTCGACCTAGAATTTCAAATCAATGCAATGATCAATTTTGATAAAACTGTTTTGGGATTTCAACTGAAAATTGTCGATAAAAAGAATAGTTAATGTTCGAATTCGAACAGCAGAGGGAATATAGATGAAACCGCACCGCAAGATTCTGTGGAACGCAAGATGGTTGCCGTTGATATCATTTTATGGGGCTCAGAATGGAAGGCTGTCGGGTGTTGAATTAAAAATCAAAATATATTGCAGTAACGGCATATAGCCTTAATAGGTGGTGCGGGTGGGGCAGTATTGTTTTTTCATATTCAGTGCGGGCGAGGGTCGGGGAAGCTTCCCTCTTTCATATTTTGTTCACCTTACGGTAAAGGTGTGGGGTTTGGGGTTCGGTGGATAACACCTCTACCCTTTTTATTGGGAGTTTCCAGTGTTTTAGGCGGTCTTCGGTGAGGAGGCGTCCAAGTCACCCTTGTCCCAAGTCTCACCTATCTCATTCAAGCCATCCATATCAACCTAGTCACACGTGGACACGTCACCTCATTCACCTCATTCACGTCACCTATTTTCCTCGACACGCCCTTCGCTCTGCCCCAAGGATGCCCGGTTATGAATGGACGTTTACAAACACTACCAGACTATTGTTCACCCACGTCGCTATCGACTAACAATCGCGATTACATTAACTTGTTACGTTTACTATCATTGTTCGGGTCAACGTGCTGATCCAGATTTTGCTGAACCTTGGAATTACTCTGAATTTCCGCAAAGCTCGCGATTCTATCAAGTTTCATATAATTGTCCGAGGTTACGAGTACTAGCTACCACCATTGTCACACTATGTACTCATATTTACCGAGAATCCATGTGAGCACCACTCGAATTGTGAAGGTAGTTGTTTGTATTAGTCCTCAGGCGTTAATAATAAGTTAGATATTTTCACTGAATTTTTAATACTTTAATTCAATTTTTTGGTGAAACATAAAAAAGTTAGTTAATTATGAATGTTAATTCATCGACACGTTTTTATTTCATCCGCGATCACCCGATGAAGTCATCCGCGATACGCGGTCCGCCCGCATTAAATATGGACGCACTAGCATTGTCACGGTCGCAACAATGCCACTTTCATCTTTAAGCCGCATTTTTATATTTTGCGAATCGGGCCGCCCGCTCTTGAATTATATAACAGGACCAGCTTAGACATTAACACTTGTTACAATAAAAATAGCGTTTCCTCTGTTTAGCAACGCGAATTGACAATTCTCTTTGAAAACGTGTATGAAATAGTGAAGCGGTTGCCAAATAATAGAACGCGCGTGATTGCGAATTGCTACATTGTGTACTGGACCTTTGTAGTTGCCGCTCGTTACAAATTGTATGATGTTGACAACAAATTATTATAAAACCGTTAATTGTTTAAAGGGGCGAACAGCTTACAAAACTGCCAAATCGCCCAGTTCTAATGCCAGCCAGTTAGCATTTAGAACTAATCCTCGTCTGTACAAGTATTTTAAGTGTAATGTATACTAGGTTGTGTATAGCTAACGAATAATTCACAGTTAGTTCCAATCCAAAACGATTTATTAGCACAAAAAACAATAACAAGCGTTTACGGTATTCAACGTTTAACAATTTTTACTTACCGTATTCTCTCGCATCTGAAACTCATATAGCTACCAAATTGTACTAAATAATATAAGTCTTTACTATATCGCTGAAGCTTGACGTTACCTATTTGAGTGCCGTCACGTCATGAAGGTGTCTCACCAACGATGTCACCTCAGGTACATGATTGTTTAGTTCCTCCTTCAGGGAATGGTTTAGTCAATGTATCCTTCATGTGAGTAACCCAGTTGTGTTGTTCCAGAGAGCCACCCTGGCCGAGAAGGAAGTGACAGCCCTGAAGGAGCAGCTCTCCGCCGCCAACCATCAAAACCCGGACAAGATGTCTGGACAAGACGACCACGCCATCAAGCGATCATCCGCCGAGATGGAACTCAATGCCAAAGATAAAGAGGTAAACTAGTCATAGTTCTCTTACACGATAATTACAATCAACCTTAATGAATTTAACCCTGAGTTTGGCTAGGCATCCAACCCCTACGTTGAAGTTAGTTTTAGAATGAAATAGTTGAATTAAACCTCCGGCATACTGTGCTGCTGTCAACTGCTGATTTCTGATTTGTACACACATTTTTAACCAAACTAAAACTACAAAGATAGGATATTATTTAAACTATGTATGTAATATCAACTGAGACTATATGATACCACTTTATGATTTTAACAGTAGCACATTCTGTGTTTTTGTGATCAACTATGTTCCATTTTAATAATATTTGGCTCCAGCTTGTATAGATGGGATGTCTACCCAAGGTGTCCAACAGTCAATGATTTAACTCAGTACTTATAACATGATGATTTATTAAGAACACGTTTATGTGTGTTCTGTCGTATGACAAAGTTGTGATCCATGATAGCAAAAGTCGTTTTTAACGTTCGTAGCTGTGCTCCAATTGGATTCTCTTACAGTTTAATCAACTTTAAACATTACTTCTTAAACAATTCAACTATCTTTTGATCTTCCGAATCATGGTGAGTCTTAGAAATGTTATGTGAATATCATTGTTTACGTTTTTTAGAGGGAACGGTCGGGATTTTTTACTATCTTAGACAGAGTAATTCCAATTGTCCATTTGTTAGTTCCTCCCAATTTTCAAACTGCTGATCTCAAAAGTAAAACCGAAATATAGGACATATAGTTAGTACATGACACATTTTAATTAATTGATGCATTTCTGTTTATCAAATATGTATTTTCATGTTTCAAAACAGATATACGTTTTAAATCATTGTAGTGGCACATAGATCTATTTACTCTATGCTAGTAGTATCGAAACAGATAGCTCGAACATCACTCAAATTTTAGTAACGACTTGAACTCAAACATATCACTGGTAGATGACTGCCAAAGTAAACTATCGGAAACTCGGCAGCGACTGAGCAGGTAGAGATTGCGATGGAACTGTGTCTATTTTGAAACCTCGGAGCGACGGAGACAGAAAGAGACATGCAAAGAGAAATAGCGTCGCTATTATTATTTTATTTTGTGTAAATGATGGGAGCAAAAGCCATTTCGCTGGTGTCTTAATATTTTCATCATCAAGAGAAACTATGCGTTATAAGCAACCTATGCCAAGAATTAAATTTAGCTTGGAGTCGCGATTTCGAGGGTATTGCTGTATCCGCCATGCGCGTCTACGGATATCCAATGTGGCCTGTTATTTACCTGGGCTGACGCCCCCGCATTTCTAAATCGTGTTTCGGACGCTTCGTATACAGTGACTGTATAAGTAGGTCAGATTAAAACATTGATTAGCCTTGTTAAAATTGTTATGAACGACCTAAAAAATGTTAATCGTGCAATAATTCTAAAAAAAGAAATGTTCCATGAATTTATACTTTCATGCTCAAATGATATTTTTATAGGTAACAGTGTTTGATTAACAAAAATAAAACCATGATGTATGTGATTCTTATAGTAAAAATATGATATATACACAAAACTTGTAGAACAACCTAAAACTACTTCCGACTTGCCATAGATATATCAGGGCTATTAAAAATACTTAAGATAGACCTAAGATTACCGTGATCATTGTATAATCTTACACAAGGATAGCCAAGTTTAACATATGGTATTTTCAGTTACTGTATTCGATTATAGCCTATTTCAGTTTATTTTACGGTAAAAAGAAGTTTTTAATGATAAGTGAAAAATATTTAATTCCAATTTCAACTAAACCTGTAGTCAATACAACACAAAACCACTTATAAGACAATATTTCACGTCTCATTAAAATTTAAAAGTTCGAATATCTTAATTAATGAAGTCAACCCCACAAAATGAATAATCAAGTTATCGCCATCTTTGATAAACTCGGAATCAAAACACAATTCGATAACAATTAAAACTTTCCAATGAGACAAGCTAAATAAAAGATTCCGAGGAAGCCAATGAATAAAATATAAAACGAGTCTACCTTTGCGCTCGCACCCTCTTTCGCATCTACATCCAGTCTTATGTTTCAATAGACGTTTCAATTGTAATATTTAGTTTCCTTTTGTTCTATACGTCGAAAATGTCTACAATACACTTGGTTCAAATCTCCAATGTACTTTAACGAAATAATGTGGGAATTAAAATAATAGTGTGATTATCTTGCACTTCATTTACAACGCAATCTATCTCAATCCGTAATAAAAGAATTTACAAAGCACACAACGATATGGAGCACAATATAGAATGAGATCGCAGTCGATCTGTAGGCGACTGGAACTGTATATTATGTAAATATAAGAACTAGTTGAGGCATAAATTACCCTTGGCTTTGGCCATACAACTTGTCTTGCACGCAAGTTGGGGCAATAATCGGACACGCCACCAACATCGGCATTGCTTCAAACAGTGCGATCGTTCGCCATCGCCAGACATCTTCACTTTATCTGCAGTCCGACTAATGACCATTCGTTTGGAAACCGCCATACTTGTCAAACTTTTTCCTGTCCGAAAAAAATGCTGTTAGAATCTGGGTACTCCCACTACTATCATTAGTACTATTCAAAGCCAGTTATGGGTTTTGTTTCAAACAGAAAAAAAACTGGATAGTTGTCTTCGGTAAAGTCTGAAGCACAACTTGACCAAAACGAGACATACAACTGTATGTCCAGTCTATCATCGAATCGAAAACTAAATCTACATTGAAAAAAAAGCTTTTCTTGCACGAAAAATCGGCCCCGGCCAGGTAACCCGAGCCCCGAAGCCGAAGTAGCCGGTTTGGAATTGGGAGCCATCTTATCGCACCAGTTCAGGACCAGATAATCATTTACTTGTCCGAACATAAACAGCGTGATATGACGGTCATACAGTACCGAGACCGAGGGAACTGAGCTCCGTAAACGTGTCAAACGGCTGGAAGCCACCCACCGAGTTATCTGCGCAATAAAACGTTCCGTCGACAGGTGCGCTGTAGCTGTAGCATGCACGGTCTGCGCCGGCGCCGCGCTCCGTGCTCGGCAAATCGGTTTCAGCTTTACTATCTCTTTATGATCGACAAATGTTTACTTGTATCACACCGCCTCTAGCTTTGGTAAATTACTCTAATTTACGTCTTTATTTGTTTATCGACGGGCTCGGCGCTCCTTTGGGCTCGGCGCTAGTTCCCTGTTTGTTTACTCACTGTTTTGTTTTAAGTTGATAAGGGCTTCGCTCGTAACTGCAGTTTATCTGTGTGTTTTGTCCCTTGTTTCAGTTTTAGGGTCTCGTGGTATTCAGCTTTATCAAGTTGAAAAGTTTCTTAGGTGAGGAATAACGTGTGGTTATCGCTAACTATCTGAAGATCGTTCGTTCGATCCTTGAAAAGTTAGTATCTTTATCGTGGTCAAAACTGGACCAAGATTCGATCATATTTGACAATCGGCTTTTAATAAAATTGTCTTGGCTAGAGAAATTACTAATCTTGGTAAAACAGCCGTCGGTTTGGAATCAGCCACTGAAACAACGCTGAGTTCAAGCCATATTAGCACTTAACACGACACTTACATTTCTAGATCTCGCCCCTTGTAATCATGTTGTACACACACTTGGCCGTTGTAAAGTGACTCTTGGATCTTCCCACGACCGCGGGAGAAACTGAGAAACTTTCTCGCTCATTTTATAAGTTAAAACCGATGTCCGAGTGCATCAGAGGAGGAAGTGCGTTAACTGCACCGTGCATGTTTGCGGTGCAACGCTTCCCGACATGGGTTGGTAATCAGCTGTTAGTTGTGTCTTGATGTCGAGAAGTAAACATATCGGTAACGTCTTTACGCTTTGCTACTGACATTAAAATCGAACAAATAGCTTGCTGTTGTACTTTGCCTAACTCACCTAGTTCCGATGGTCACGAAAGGACAAATCATAAGTATGTTTTGAACAAATTTCTATACCTTTCGCGAAAATCGAAAAATGTTGTGTTTTCTCACGCTAAATGAGATGTGAAATAGCTGCAATATTCATAAAAATGTTTCAACATTATTTTTTGTATTTATCTCGCATTAAATGTGCTATACGATTGAAAAAAATTCTGTAGAAATCTAAACCAAATGTTAATTTTATATTTCCGTTATTCGTTCGAATCCAAATAAATATTTAGTGTAAAGCAATAATTTTGAAAAAAAAAACTACTAAAATAATCTTGTACTGTTTTCAGTATATTTTAAACTTTTTATGAAATAAACAGCTATTGGCGAGTACGATGCGAGAGGAAAGGGTTAAAGGGGTGGGGAGCTATGAGCAACAGCAAATGTTTGACGAATTTGTGGATAGCCAAGTATGCGCCACACAACAAAAACTCACCACCAAACTTGAGCTCTGCCCCTTCACTCAGACACCCCAGCCGATTGTTATTTATTTCCTTTTTGTCTCCCTCCGATATGTACAGAACCAACATTAATTTTAATTTGAACTAACGATATAGACTGATTAATTCACAATAGGGTCGGTGGACCGGAATTTTTAGCCATGAAGGGTTTTGTCCGGGTTGATGTTGACGAAGATATATTTTAAGGTAAATTTCGAGGGAATTGGACGTCGATGCTGCTACTTGTTAGTTATGTGTATGATACGTAAATTTTGAAATTTTATTTTAGAACATTCGTGAATTTCGTAGGTGTTTTTTGTGTTTACTGGTATTTTTACGATTTTTATAAGGATCAGTCCAAACCCTCGTTTTACTATCTACCCTCTAACCTTTGTTAGAAAATTTGTAACCTAACGACAAATTATATCTGGGTGACACCCCAATCTTGCTGGCATTAAACCAGCAACCTTTAGATTTGAAGGCGAGCATAACCACTCAGTTACCCATAAAAAAGGTAAAAACACTTGTTTCCATTGACGATAAATATAAAGCACAACTATTTATATAGCCAGAGATATTTTACCCAATATAAATTGTCAACGTAAATGTATAAGCA